CATTAAATAAGTATTCATGAAATAAATAAACTTCTACACTCTTGCCTTTAAGAATAGGCCTCCCAATAGTATGCATCATATAATTTATATCACATACTGTCAATTGTGACAAAGAAAGAGTACACCATTAATTAGGATGACAGGTTTAAATTTTATAAGCTACAGAATGAATAATAACTGATTGAATATCTGTACACATTTAGACTTCTGGCAGCTTTCCAGAATGGAGCAGGAATTAAGACTGAGAATTTTTCAAGCTATTATAACATTTGACAGCTCATAGGATCAAGATATCTAAATGGCAAGGGAAAATTTTCTAAGTTTCTATTAGATCTTACGAAAATTAGTTACAGGTGATTTATGACGTGGGGGTGAGGAAGATGTCATTCTTAATGTTCATTTGGATACTTACCAGTTTATTTACACGTGTTTTATACAACTTGATATTCCACAACCTCTATCTAATTTCTCTATGTTTAAGTTCACATAGGGACTTTCCTTTGAAATCCTCTTTGTACCAATGATTGTTTGTCATTGTTTGTCATGCCAAGGATTAAAGGAATGTACTTTCCAGCTCCGACTGGAATTGCTTAGAATTCTCCAACAGCAGGATTCAGCTTTGGGAACGTTTCTGTTTCTATTTTTTAGTAGACAGGGTGTGATAAGTCCACAGCACTTGCAGGATGCTTTGAAAAACTGAGGTAATATTTTAACATTGAGTATACTATTTCTTGTATTATTATTTGAAAGTGTTGTTTTGGAGTAACATGGTTAACATAGTGACCTCTTTTGTTTCAGTGACTTGTTACAGGAGCAGAATAAAAACTATTGTGAAAAAAAATTATAACAAGCAAATCTCTGTTTCTCTACCTTGAATAGGTTCTGGGGTGATAAGACTTGAGAATTTACTTATGTAGGCAATATTGCATTGGAAAAATCTGCTGAAATGGGACCTCTTTCAAGTGTTAAACAGCCTCTGTAAATTTTTACCGAAATTAATAATAAATTTAAATAAAACAAACAAACAAAAAACTTAAATGAGAAAAAAAAACCCTAACAAAAAAAATAAAGTTTAAACAGCAAAAATATCTCTGAAGATTAAGGCACATTTGACCAAAGGCTTCACAGGCGACTCAACCAATAACATTCTATGTCAGGTGTGGAAGCAGGATTGGCATCCACTTCCTAAACAACTTGTCTCCAGAAACTGTATGAGCTTTGATAAATGTTGATAGCTGTAGAGGGGCTTCAGGCCTTTTGTTCATAGAGTCACAATGAGTCGTGCTTGACTCGAAGGCAGTCAACAACAACTACACATAATTTTATTAACCTCTTCATATACATTTGAAAGACTTTGAACTGTAGTGCTGGAGAAGAGTATTGCATATACCATGGACTGCTAAGAGAACAAACAGGTTCAACCTAGAAAGGTGAAAGCAGACTTCTCCTTGGAGGAATAAGATTATGAAGCTTTGTCTGACACACTTTGGACATCCTGAAGGTGGGTATGTCAGAGACAGTAAGATTGGCACAGGATAGAGCTGGCTTTAGGGCTGTTGTACATAGCATTGTTGTGAGTCATAGGTGACTCAACAGCACATAGCAACAACAACAACAACAAAAATCACAAGCTAGGCAAATGGAAATGTAGCAACCCTACGCACAATAGCTCTGAACTCTGCTCTATCGGGGACAATCTAACTGTCTCTGACATACCTACCCACATTAATTCCGTTATAGTGTCAATCCATCTCATCTGGGGATATGTGACTATATTTTGTCTAATGGACTCTGTTGTTGTTGTTAAGTGCCATCGAATAGTAGGCGACTCAAAGCGACCCTATGAATGAAAGACTTGGACACTTGTATAAATTCCATCCGTTTTCCATGTTTATAGGATTTCCAGAGACAAGCTATTTCAGAAGTGGATGCCACTCCTGCTTCCAAGCTTGTTTTAATCGGGAAGCTCCACCCAACACTGTCCACCATGGGTAAACATTCTCGCATTTGACTCATCAGTGTCACAGTGTTCAGCTTCACAGCAACCATGAGTTATCTCTGTAAAGCAAGTAGACAGACCAGGGCTATACAACCTAGAAGAATGTTTGAACAAAACCAATTAAAAAACAGGCCTGAAGATGGCAGATTAGAGTCACCTGCCTTTGGCTTGAGAGCATCACTTTCTGTCACTAGGCCAACTGACTCTAGATGGAAAATAAAGAATCCACTCCTAATGTGACTCAAAAAAATTTTCAGAGTGAGCCAAAAGTCAACATCCAGAGGCTTCGTTACATTAAAGTGGGAGAGTGGTCATCAACTGCCCTTCATTGGTTTTCGCAGCAGAAAACTAGCTGGCTCAACCAATGAGATACTATGTTGTTGTTGTTGTTATGTGTCGTCGAGTTGCCTGCGACTCATAGCGACCCTATGTACAAC